TGTGTGTGTGTGTGTGGGTGGGTGTGTGGGTGGGTGGATGGGAAAGAAGGAGAAAGAGAGGAAAGCAGGTTGGTACATAAAAAACTATTTGCAAACATAATGATAATGGTGATGATGGTGACAATGACGAGGAGATGATGATGATGAGATGCTAGCAAAGGCATATATAGCCTTCGCCATATGCCAGGAGCTGTTCTAAGTCCCCTCCATGTACTGACTTATCTAATCCTCGTGACAACGCTGTGGCAGGTACCAATTAAGCCAGGAATCCCAAGTTCAAACAGACCACAGCATGAGCGTGCCGGAGGAGCCTTTTGCAGGTTGTGGGCAGGGCAGGGGCCCGGGCAGGTCATGCTGCCTTCAAAGAAATGTTCTCAGAGCTGGAGAAAAGAGGGAGAAAATAGCAGAGAGTGGCAGAGAGGCTGAGAGGCACATCAGTGTACCCCCATTTTACAGATGAAGACACTGAGGCACAGAGACAGCAAAGGACCCTTTCAAGATCCGAAGCTGGAACATGGTGGAGCCAGGATTTGAGCCAACGCCGTCTGACCATAGAGGGGCACGTAATTGTTGACTAGATCCCTGGGAAGTAGAATATCGGGCCTTTTTACCTTCTTCCTCATGCTTTTGTGTATTGTTTGAACAGCTTTTGTGAGCAAATATTTTACTATTGGACGAAAATAGTCTCTCTTTGAGGAACAGTAAGAAGAGTTTCCTTCTCTTGGCCTCCCTTCCCGCCCTCTGCTATTTGCTCCCTGCCTCCCTCCCTTTTCCCTCCAGCTCTGAGAACATTTTTTTAAGACCTGCCCAGGCCCCTACCCTGCCCACAACCCACAAAAATCACCTTCTGCACACCCATGCTGTGGTCTGTTTGAGCTTGAGATTCCAGGCTTACGTGGTCAGATTTGGGAGGAGCGGGGGAGCGGGATGCCATCAGTGCTCCCCTCTCCCCTCTGGCAGCTAGAACATACCTCTGGGGGTGCCTTCCTGGGTTAGCCTGAAACGCAGCCCCGTGCAGGGGGAGAGGCCTGCCAGCCGCTGCGTGACCGTCGGACTCTAGCATAACTCTAGAACCTGCAGCCGGGCGGGTGTCTGGTGCTAGTGTTACCATGTCCAGGGCCTCCTTTTCCCCGTTCTACCACAATTTTTTTTGAGTGCCTGCCATGTGCCAGGCATTATTCTTGGCCCTGAGGATACAACAGTGAATTAGACAAACCAAGTAAGTCCTGGCCCTCAGGGTCATACAGAGGAGCACGAGGGACAAAATAAACGGCAGGGTAGAGACTTGGATGTCGGGAAGGGATGAGACACAATGAAGCAGGCGAAAGGGACAGAGTGGTTAGGGGTGCTGTTTTGAGTAGGCAGACCAGGGAAGGCCTATCTGGGGGAATGATATTGGAGCAGCGGTCTGTAAATGAGACCTTGGCGATCTCAAGGGCTGTTCCAACCTCAGATAATCTAAGATTCCATTAACTTAGGAGCCCCCATCCCCTTTCAGTGTCCTTATTCACAAAATGGAGTTGTTGAGCTAGATTAGAGTTTCCAAACTTAGATGCCTCCGGGGGTCAGGCAGATAGCCATGAATGTGTGAAGTGGCCAGTTGCAAGACGATAGGGAGGAGTGGCAACTGTGGCTAAGGGAATAAAATGTAATGTTTCTTAAAAAACAAAACACTATGGGTCAGGCAAAACCCTTTTGTAAGTCAGACCTGACCCTTAGGCCATTAGTTTGAGGCCCCAGCCTTGACTATTTATGTATTAGTGGGTAAGGAGGGTGGTAGGGAGAATAACTCTGGTGGGAGAAGTCATTTGATGAGGATGAGGATAAGCCAACTGGGCCCAGGTGAGCCGTGGCACCATCACGGCATGGGATCCACCTGCCTCAGGCCTTTGACCAATCACAGTGGGTTCTGGACTGTTCCCATGATTGCTGACACTAGCTGTGGGCTCTTCCACTCTGGGGGACGCCCTCCCCAATACACACACAGCCTGTGATTGAGCTGCCTAGCACAGCCAAGGAGGGACAGAAGGAGGATAAGCAGAGCTAGCCCTGTGGCTTTTCTCCACTTGCGGCATGCTGAGCACCATAGGGACAGTTCCACCTGCTCTCCAGGATCCTTG